CTGTTTCAGGCCAATGAGGCAGCTGTTGAATTGCACTGTTAAGAGTTCAACAACCTTCACACGACTCATCACGGGCAAATGGCATGAAGATGCATGAAGCAAATAGGTGTGTTTGCAAGATCAAGTGCGCTGCCGGACGACCTACATGAGTTTGAGGGAGTGTGTATGTGTGTGTGTGTGGTGGTGAAACCCTTGGAGTCACAGGGAATCCGTGGATTTGTTTCTCCTTTCTTTTTGAGTTCTTTTCTTGACAAAGAGCAGGGGGATGGAGAGGACGTATGAGGCTCCATCCAACGAAGCTCCTCATACGATCCTATGATATCCTAGGAATCCTAGGATATCATCAGGGACGCCTGATGACGTACCTGCTTTGTGATGACTTCTCATTCACCACAGGGCCCCATTCCAACTACAACAAGCTTGCCAGCCTTTGCATCGGCCGTGCGCTCCGCAGTCACACGGTTGCCACCTTTGAGCTGTACGAGATTCAGGCTTTGGAGGTCTGGAGGCTTTGAGATGGTCCAGCCGCTTTACATACTGCCCGTTTTACTCAGGCAATTTTGTCACTTAGGCTTCTTCAGGGCTCTCGGCGATCAGTCCAGTATGCAATATCTTGAGTGTGTCTAGCTTAATGCCAGCCCAGGGTGTACCCGAGGAGTGTCCCGTGTGGCCTTGCTAGGCAAGGTTTTGTTTGTGTTTCCACTGCCCGGAAACGTACGTGTCCAGAGCGGACAGCAAGCAGGAGGTTTAAGCCAAAGTTCATTGCCAAGATCTCATGAGTTATTGAATTTGAGTCGGCAGCTTTCGAGAAAGCCATTAGGTGACCAGAGCGGTCTTGAGTAGGCTTAGCCGAACGTGGTCGCAGCGACCGAAGCTTATCAAGGTCCATTGGGACCGGTCGCTAGGTGCACACACAACGCGTACAGCTTAAACGAGGCCAGGTCTACCTAGGCTTGTTCCCCACATTGACGTGTGGGGCTATTGTCTTTAGTGTGGTATCCGCCCAGCACTCCGCCGCCCTCGTCCTCGTCGCTCCTCACCAAGAAATTGCCACCAACTAATGGTCACCAACCAATTGCCACCAACAAACTTCCACCAACCAATTGCCGCCCACGAATTGCTACCAACCAATTGTCACCAACCAATGTCATCAGCCAATTGTCATCAACCAATTGCCACCCACCAATTGTCACCCACCAATTGTCATCGACCAATTGCAACCAACCAATTGTCACCCACCAATTGCAACCAACCAATTGTCACCAACTAACTGCCACCCACCAATTGCTACCAACCAATTGTCACCAACCAATGTCATCAACAAATTGTCATCGACCAATTGCCACCCACCAATTGTCGCCAACCAATTGCTACCAAGCAACAGCCTCCAACAAGCTTCCACCCACAAACTGCTACCAACCAATTGCCACCAACAAACTTGCACCAACCAACTGCCACCAACAAACTTGCGCCAACCAATTGTCCCCAACCAAGTGCTACCAACCAATTGTCACCAACCAATTGTCTTGGCGTTCTCCAAGGGTCGGATGTACGCCCTGGTGCTCCTGGGTCGCCGCTGCTGCGCGGGTGTGATTTGCGTGGCAGGCGCATCATTTGGTGCTCTCCAACGGGTCGGATGTACGCCCTGGTGGTCGTGGGGCGCTGCGTGGGTGTGATTTGTGCTCCTGGGACGCTGTGTGTGTGTGATTTGCGCGGCAGGCGCGGCGCTGGGCGCTCTCCGACCCCTTGACGTACGCCCTGGTGCTCGATGTTTCGCCGCTGCTGTGTGAGTGTGATTGGCATGGCAGGCGCAGCGCTTGGTGCTCTCCAAGGGTCGGATGTAGGCCCTGACGTCCGTGGGTCGCCGCCACTTGCCACCAACCAGCTGCCACCAACAACTTGCCACCAACCAATTGTCACCAACCAGTTGCCACCAACCAATTGCCACCAACCAATTGTCACCAACCAAATTTCCACCAACCAATTGTCACCAAACACTAGGCTAGGTTTTCCCAGGTTTGCTTCAATGAGGTTTGGTTTGTCTTCGTTGTTTTCCGGCCCCTCCGTTTGGTTCCCCTTTCCTCCTTCCCCTCACACACAGTGCTTTTCTTTCTTCTTTTCATGTCTTCTCCGCTTTCATGTCCGGTCATCTCACTCCTTTCTTTCTTTCTTTCTGTTTGTCTGTTTGTCTGTCTGTCTGTCTGTCTTTCTTTCTTTCTTTCTTTCTTTCTTTCGCGCGCACATCGGTCCGGCCCTTAGCCTATACGTGAGGTCGGCCAGGTGGTTATAATGAGATCTGCCTCATTTGGTTGTCCCTGTTCACTTGGTTCCTTTTCATTGCAACCACATACACTGTCCTGTCTTGTCTTCCTCTCATGTCTTCATCTTTTTGTTTTCTGCGCGTGCGGGCCTGCGCCTTAGTCTGGGCCCTAGTTCTAGCTTTTGGCCCCCCCGGTGTGTGTGTGAAACCCCTGGAGTCACAGGAGCCTTTCGATTGTTTGCAGGGGCAACCTTGTGAGCGTAGCTGGTTGCCCAACGAAGAGGGCCATGCCACGACTGATATGGAGTCTGATCAACCCCACGTACCTGCTTTCTTTCGAACTGTTGACCAAGCGGTGACTCCACTCTCCTGTAAAGTGCTAATGAGTTCTGCAGATGTGAACGTTCGTTGTCATCTTTCTTGTCGCATCACGATCATCGACTTTGAACCTTGAGATTGTGGGCCTTCCCCTTTTTGGCCTGGACCTCCAGGATGCTCAGACCCCCCTTGCGTGACTTTCTCAGGAATATGGTTACTTAGGTCACCGCGGGGGGGAGTGGATTTCAGTTCCGGACGAAATTTCCTGAGTGTGTGCCCACAAAGGGCATGAGGCACTAACAGACTGGACCCTCAACTTGCGAAGAGTGATACAAAACATTTCTGGTTGTGAAGTGTTTCCTTTTTTTTCCGCACTGACTGATATTTTGTTCGCTTTTGGTATCTTCTGGTTGCTTGCTGCTTCCTGGCTTGGACGTTCTGCTTCGTACCGCACGGACGCAGATTTGACCAACTGTTCAGCAAAAAAACAACGTGCCCTGTTTTGCTTTTGGGTTCTCGGGTTCACCTTGTTTCATTGGAATCAGATGGGTGTGCACATTTGCGAGTTTTGATCTGGCCCCAATGCAACCCCTTGTCCGAAAAAGAGTAGTGTAACGTAAGAATTCAACGATTACATTCAAAACCTTTGCCTTTAAACTGTCAATACACATCGCCAGTCGGCAAAAAGGCAGGCAAAGCGCGTGGGGCAATATTGGTGATAAATCCCGGACAACTCAAGACACAGTCTTTCATTGATGTAGGCATAAGCATAGGCATAGGCATAGGTCACTACAGGTTTGGTAAAACTGGAATGGATCAAACAATCGTTTTGCGAGTTGCAAAGAGGGTGCCTTTGTTGAACAATTTCTTGGTTGGAGTTGGTGGCTGGGGCTCAGCTGCTCCGAGTCCTTCCTTAGTGTTGGCATCAGGTAGGTGAAGCAGAGATTTGCCTAGATTCTTTGAGGTAGCTGGGTGCCTCACACTTGTGATTCGATTTGGTACCTTTTTTCAGCTGTGGAGATTTGGCAGTGCAAGGCAAACCATTCCCGACATCCCCCACTGGTATTTTCGGGTTGCACTTAGCTCCCCTTCTCAGGAGGAGGAAGTCTTTGACTTTCCAGAGCCACGGTGAAAAGGGTTTGCTTAACGCGGGTTGCGCTGTCGTGTGAAACTGCACTGCCATGCCACGCCACGTGAACTTTGCCGCAGCTAAAGGCCCTCAAGCTGGTGACAACGTGTTGAGGTCTACCCATGAGTGGTGGAGCAAGCTGAGCTAGCTCTCCTAGCAGTCCTGCAAAGTTCCTATTCTGACTGCCACTCGTTTTTTTTCTTTGGTAGAAGTGAGACGCTTCTGTAGATCTGTCCTCCCCCGCAAAGACTTGGAATTGTTTAACCCAGAATGGGACCTTTGTATTGGACACTGCCCTAAGAGAGTATGCGTGGACAATGATGGTCAACAAGGGTCATCAAGGGGCCTCTGCTAAAAGGGTCTAAAACGTCATGATCCATGGCTTTCCGGGTACCGGTCCCCAGCCCTCGCCAGTTGCCAGTCACCTTTGTCCGACTCCAGTAAAACAAAGCAGTCCATCTACACGAGAGCTCCGCGCCGATGGAGTGAGATCTTTAAGATGGCTTGAGCATGATCTACCTCACCAAGCGGCGCTCCCGGCAGGGCTGGGAAAGCGACGAGCCGAAGCCTGAGGAGAAAGAGCAAAAAGCACCTAAAGGAGCGAAAGAGAGTGAAAGGGCGAAATGCCACGAATGGGGGAATGAAGATGAAGAATGGTGGGAGCCTTGGGAAGATTCAGCTCGCAAGGAGACCTGGAGTGGGGATTGGGAGGATTGGAAGGGGCAGGGCCGTCCTGGAGCCTGGACAGCCAGTCAGTCCAGTCAGGCTGTGGCACCCAAGCCGAAGGCGCGCCCCAAATTCCACTCGGACATGAGCCACTCAGGCGTGGTCAATGCGCAGGATCCATGGACGGGGCATCTTTTGATCGATTGCCCAGCTATCCAGCAGCTTTACCAGCACCCTGCCATCATTCTGCCTAAGCACAACACCTCGAATGTCCGCCTCGGTTCGATTGTTGTCTTCCGGGTGCAGCCTGAGGGGGGTCTCCCTGTGGCCTGCGACATTGCGGTCAACGGCTTTGACATCGAAGTGGGTCAGCGCCCGGACAAAGTCCGGGACGACCACTGTGATGGGGCCGGTTTCCTGCCGGCTGAGCGGATACGAGAGATGGGAATCAACCTCCCAGTACCAAATGGACCTGGGAAAGCGCTTGGGAAAGGGAAGACAGGGGGCAGGCACTGCTGAAGTGCGAAAAAAGATCCGCATGTGCATGGTTTGGCTGCACGTTTCGAAGAAAAAAGAATCCCTTTGTCAACTCTTCCTCTGCCCCCGCCGTGAACCGCACTGACTGAGGCCTACCAGCAACTGGTGAAGGGGCCAAGCTATCGCCCTCCAAAGCTCCAGGATCGTGCCGGGCACCCAGACGGGATCTCAATCTTCAGAGCAAGGAAGAAAGCTGTCTTGAGCACTTGTTCTTCAAACCAACTTGTGTCTTGTTCAGGTTGACCAGTCTCATTCTGTTTCCATTCGGTCCTTGGCTCCTTTCTTTGAGGTCTTCTTCGTCACTGGTCTGGTGCTTGTGAAGCTATGCCTTCTGTCGCAAAACATGCAAAGTTTGCATTTTGCGCCCGCTTCTTCGACCGATTGCTCGGCTTCAATACAAAGGTCCAAAGGCTCAGGCCGCGCCACCCTAATACTAGGAGCAAGGACGCTACTAGCGGCTCCTGGCATCGCTACTAGGAGCAAGAAGCTATTAGGAACAAGAAGCTGCTAGGGGCTCCTGGCCTTACTACTAGGAGCAAGGACGCTACTAGGGGCTCCTGGCCACGGCGGTTTGCCGTCGACTCGGTGAATGACCCAGGTGCCAACTCTGGGATTGGCTTCGAAGCCAGCAAGGCGGCTGGACGCTTCCAAGGTGATCATGGTGACCTCACGGTTTTTTTTGTTGACCATTTAGATCCATTTGGCCATCTTCTGGTTCTAGCAAGTGGTGTCAACTTGGTTGTGAAAGGAAATTCATAAACATTTTTGGTAAGCCTCAATCAGGGTCCGAAATTGACACACAAAGTTAAATCAGTATAGTATAAGTTTGTAAAGACAGTAAAGAAGTCAAGGCACTATTACTGTATACTCGTTTGGGGAGGGCTAGCTGTATCTCAATCTGTTTGTTTGGTGTATTTTTTGCCTTCCTTTTTAACCTCTCGCTTCTGTGGCTTCGTGGCTTCGTGGCTTCTTGGCTCGCTCGCTCGTTCTCTCTCTCGTGCCCCTGGTCTCTTGGTCCTTTGGTCCCTCAGTCCTCTGGGTCCTGTGTTTCCTTGGTCCCTGGTCTCCCTAATCCTGAGGCCACTCTCCCTTAAGCATGTGGGCCCATCGAAAAAGCTTCCTTGAACCCCATAAAGGAGCAACCTGGCAAAACCAAGAAACAACAACATATTCCCCCAAAGGAGCAAACATATTCCAAAACTGGCATTGCAGCCCTTTGTTTTGGGCCACGCCGTGCGACTCTTTCAACCATCGGTTCCTTTGCTTGGCGGAACCAGAGGCCTTTGCTCTGGCAGGGGCCACCGTAGTCTTTGGCTGCCGAGATCAGAAGCGAGTGCGCCTGTGGGATGTGCGACCGCGTGCGACGTGTGCGAGGCGTGACAGTTGCTTGAGGGTGTCTAGTCTACTCCTCGGTGTTTCAATTTGCTGCATCGGGTTAGGGTAATTCCACCTTGCTTGATCTGTTGAAATGGGGAGGCTCCCAACCAACTTGGATAATCCAGAGGCTGATGACTTGTAAATCCCAGTTGGACAACTCAGGTGAGCGCACGAATGTTCTTTGCCAATGAAAGATTTGTTTTCAGATGTTTTCAGTAAACAAAGTCTTTCACAGGACGCTCGTCACACAGATGAATGTATCTATGACGCTTCAGGCACCCCCAATGCAATCAATCACTATAGTTGACTCATGCATATATAGTGTGCATAGTTATATCAGTGTCCCTAAAAATCTAGGAACCAAACGCATAGTGAGCTATCCTGCGCCCATATGTATGTAGTAGGCTGGGCGGGCGTAGACGGCCGGGGCATTTTGAGCACTTTTTTTGCGAAATCCGTGTGGTATTTACAGCACTTTTTGTGTGTCCGCGGACAAACGGGCGCAAAGTAGTTTTTTCCGAACCAAAAATAACTGGACTTCATACTTGCGATATATCCACAAACCCTAGCCCCAATGGAATTTCAATAAAAATACGTTCTGCAACTCATGCAAATGGCCACAAAACACCACGGCCATCTACACACGCCGGACCATGTAGTAGCTACTTAAGCTACTAGCTACCTAGCTACTACTAGCTACCTAGCTACTACTAGCTACCTAGCTACTACTAGCTACCTAGCTACTACTAGCTACCTAGCTACTACTAGCTACCTAGCTACCTCTACCCGCCTACCACCCCTTTAAAACAGTGATATATATATATATAATATATATATATATTATAGACTAACTATATGATGGCCATACGGTGTGTTGGACCGGTTGTAGAGCTTTCGACCTGTCCACCCCCAAGTGACCTATGCACTGATTCGGTCGAGGCCACGACCGCCATGCGGGCGCTTGTGACGGAGGGTGTCTCCGAAGCGCAGCTGCATTTTTTGTCACTTGGAGATGGGATGAAATTTATGACATAGATTCTTGAGAGCGGTGTTTGATGAGTGAGATGTGGTGATGAATACTGAGTGTTTTGGAAGAAGTAGACACCTGATATGAACCTTGTAGCAGTCTCTTTTTGGCGAAAAGGGGGGGCCTTGGATTGAAATTCGACACATCCATCTCGGTGCGTTGGTTTGCTTTTCCGTCGAACAGTATGGGGCCATAAAAAAGAGTGCATCGCTAGTAACAAAGATAACAAAGGAAAGTGACTGGTAACAAAGGAAAGTGAGGCCCCCCCGAGTCGAACCGATCCTTCTCCGAGGCCGCTAGACTTGACCTCCCTCCAGTCGGTGCGGAGGTGGGACGTGACGGTTCTTCGGTGTCGGAAACGACCAATGCCCTAAGGCCCTGGTGAAATGTGTCCGATCCACAAGGTTTCTTGCTCGGCTTCTGGGATTGTGGGCGCATGTAAAACGAGGGAGTTGGGAGGCATGGTTTCTTGGCTGAACATTGAACATGCACATCCCACTTGATTCCTCAAAACCAAGAGCCACGATCGGCCAAAAGCATGAGACAACCAGGGGGGCCAGCATTTTGACCATGGCGTTCTCGGCCGTCAGATGAAAGGTGTGCTCAATTGCTGGAGGAGTCGGGCTTGAAGGCCGGACAAAGGGAGCGCTGTAGGCAGAAGCCATGGTCGGAACGAACGCCCAGAAGATATGGCCCATGGCGTGCATTTTTGGTGAGGATTGTCCAAAGGAAATTGACTTGAGCATACTCTGGGGGCTGCGCACATCTGTGCGGGAATGTCGCACCTGGAGCATGACCCAGACAATTGTTACAACAAGCCAAGTAGCTCGTGTGATTGTTTCTAAGATCTATTTTACTAGCTTGTGACTTGTGTGTGAGTGTGTGCGTGCACCAAGCCCTGACAATGTTCAGACCTTCAAGGCGTATATATATATATATATTGAATATATTGACAACCTGACTTTGACAGCTCCTTATTCATGAAGCAGGTTGACAAGACATTCTCTTTTGGAAGTGTGGATCGATTCCGATAGAATAGAAAGCCTTTGATTTTGCTACTTGCTGGGGTTCGAGCCATGAGCTGCGTCTGATTGAGAACCCATTCTGCAACCTATTCTGCCGGTGATCTAGCCTCTGAATTGGATGGCTGTGAGAGATGCACCGTTTGGCATATTTGCAGCGGCTTATGGTGCATACTTGCTCCTTGGAAGATATGGGGAGCTTGGGATTGGGTTGGATTATGTAGACGCCATTTCTTTGAGCTGTCCTTGGAAAAGGGGCTAGTTGCTGTGCTGTATGGGCTGAGGTTGCCTTTCCTTTACCTCTTGCTTCCTGGAAACACCGTGAAAACCAGCTGGGCACCTAGCATCACCTAGCACTTCTTGGTTCTCTGGTCCTGGAGTTGAAGTTCTGGAGGCTCGCTACTCTGCTACGCCTCAGGTGCGGTGTTGCCTTGGAGCTGTTCACCATGGTCGGCCTTGACTTCCTTGCTGACCTTGGAAGTGGCGTGTCTTGACAAGACCTTCTTGGGAGGAGACGCCAAGCAACAACAGACAAGCTTGGATGTCACGTTTGCATGCTCTCAGACCAAGGATTGGTGTCTTGTATGCCTTGCTGCGGATTGTCATGCCCTCAGCTTTGGCTCGGCATGAGTAACAGAAGGCCTTTGCTGCATTCAGGTGTGGATCGAGTACCTCCATTGTCTCATCATGCCTTTGAGACACATTCGAGAGGGTTCGTTCGCCCTGGGTTGACCAATACCCTGCTTGGTTTCGATGTGCTGATGTCCATTCCTTTCTCAGGTCTTAGACAAACTCAAATGGAAGCAAGGGCAGAAAGCTTCCTCGCAACACAAGGCGGAAAAGCTCCGACATGTCTTTTGATGGGCGTTGGTCAGTCCGAATCCGAAAGTAGCTCGGCAAGTGAAAGAACAGGTATAGCCGCGTAACCAATACGGTTTTTGACTTGCACCTGTCCGGGATGTTCAATCCTGCGAAAAAAAGAAATCATGAGCTACAAAAGGCATAAGATCAGTTAGAAGCCAACTTTAAGCGGCACGTCACTTGCTGCCTGTCACCACTTTGATGGTTTAGAAGTTTTAAGTTCTTTGTTATGCTCTTGGCAGGATGACCTCCTCCGGATGGCCTATCTCAATGAATCTTGGACAAACCCATGCCTGCCTGTACTCAGAAACAATACTGATCGTTCGGATAATTTCAGATACATATGTGCGTATGCATGGGAGTTGATCTAAATGTCCGTGTATGGGTTTTACAATCTAGAACGACCTCTTACTGTAGATGTTGTCTAAACCATCCGCGAAAGATCCGCGATGAGGTTCGCGAAAGTATCATATCAGGATTATCTTTTGGAGGGGTATTTGTTTTAAAGATTGTTGTTGTTGTTGTTGTTGTTTTTCATTCTTTTTTGGATGTTGTTTTTGTTTCTGCCTCTCGCTGCTTTTGTTGCTTTTCCTGCTTTTCTATGCTTTTTTTGCTTTTCCTTACTTCTCTATTATCTCTCCTGCGTTCCTTGCTTTTCCTTGCTTCTCAGTGCTTCCCTGCTTTTCTTGCTTTTCCTGCTTTTCTGTGCTTGTGTCGCTTTTCCTTGCTTTTCATTGCTTCTTGGCTTTTCTTGCTTTTGCTGCTGGTGTTGTGCTCGGTTTGCTTTTCCTGCCTTCTCTCCTGCTTGGCTTTATTCTCCTTCGTCTCGTCCTTTTGTAGCGTATTGATTCCCTTTCGTAATTGAGAGGTTAAACCGTAGGATACCTTTTGTAAGCGACGAGAGGGCATACAGTTCTGTGCTTGCCCGCAAAAATCAATTTTTAAGACACAACTTTTTCAGTAGTGACATAACACCATCGCAACCCACAGCGGTGGATGCTAAGGGCTACCAGGCTTTTGCCATCTGACATAAGACCTATATATTATATAATTATATATGTTAAGATCAGCGCTCCGTGCTTCCCAAAGTGCACTCCAAGGTTCACAAAACGCTACGCGCCAGGAAATCTGCATGTCCAGCCATACCAGCACCAAAAAAAAACAACAATGAACAAGAATAAGAACATAACAAATGAATTCCGGGACCTTATCCTTCCGCAAGTTAGCTGACAAACTAATTACAACTGCATCACCCTTGCACAGCCCTGGCAGTGAGGCAACCACCTGCAGCTCTGACGGGCTGCGCAGATGTTTGCATATGCTATATATGCTATGCCTTCCCGGGGAAGTCATTGGTTAGATTTTGCGAAAGATCCGCGAAAGTTTCGCGATTCTGCCGCGAAAGTCCAGGTTCCAAGCCTGAGGACCCCCAACATTCCACGAGCTGGTAGCCGGCGCGAGGATTCTGTTGAGTTGTGCCTGACTCTATTCTAAACCTCCTCCAGGACCAGGATACTGTTTGTCGCACTGATGTCGCACAGGCTGCAAATGACCTTGAGTAGCTGTGTCAACTCTCAACCTTGTGCTGGGGTCATGCTGCCAGATGTCAGTCATGCTTCGCGACGAGGCCGCGGAAGATCCGCAGTTTTTCCGCGAAGAATAGTGAAGCATGCTCCTAATCTCCTTGGCCCTTTGGCATACCAATCTCTCAGATCAACGCATTTTGCTTAGGCCTTGGACACCGTGCAGGTGTAGACATTGGTCTAGAACTCTTTCAGTAGGCCGACCATCTAACAATACCGCTTGACTCGTGCAGTTGCTTTGAGTCTCCGGGGACTCTTTATGAAGACAAGCCCTCTCAGGTAAGCCTTTGCTTCCTTGGCCGGCTTCATGGACGAGTTTCAGGTGAGGGAGCACGTGTTGGGTGTAAGCAACGTGCACAAACCAGGTCTAACAGCCTAACATCTTCGGTGCCTGCAGGTAAATTCATCCTCCTTGTTACTAGTAGCTTCTTGTTCCTAGTAGTAAGGCCAGGAGCCCCTAAGAGACAGACAATGCTTCCCAGGTCAAAGCTGATGGTTTTCGCGTTTCCCCAAACCCTGTCACAAAGTGGTTTCGGGCTTTGTGATGCGTTCTGGGGGTCTCCCTTCCAGGTGTTTTCTTGATCTTCCTGCTCTACTTCACAGCCTTCTACGCCGTGCCAGCCTTGATCTTGTCATTTCCTCGGGATATACGGTGACCATGCCCTTGCGCATCAGGGGAGACTATACTTATTTCCATTCTTACTGGAAACTGTTAGGAATTTGAGCCTCCCGAGTGGGTAGCCTTTTTGTTGGCTATGTTTGGTTCAAGTTAGTACCCGCGTGACTTGCGCGTATCCCAGATCCAGGAAATCCAAGGCAACCCTTCAAGCCATGTGCCGACTATGTTTTGCCCGATGCATGGAGTGTCAAGAGGTTTCAAGACCAAGCATAGGATTCACCAAGTTACCTCGACAGGCCGAATGTAAGTCCTTTGTCTGGGAAATCAGTTCCTTGTCTCAGACGCACCTCTGAAGTACAGTCTAAAACGGAGGTGGATAGATGAGGTTTGCTTGGTAGCACGCCGCACAGGCGCCCGCGCAATTGTAATCACTTGGTGGAACCAGAGTGTTGTGAAAGCGACATATGCTTCTACACGACGGCATTCCACATTTGTTCTGACTTGGCAAGGAACATCTTCTAACATTTTCACGTATATGACCAGCTTCTTTGGGAGTGCATGGCTCTTCATGGGCCTTGATGCTTCAAATGTCGGAATCACAAGTGTCCCATCGAAAGGTGCTCTTTGAGATGGTGCCTTGGAGCATCCGTTCCTTCAAACGGTTTCTTGGAAGGGTGGGACCACCTTGGCAGAGGTCAAGGAGAGAACACAGAGAGTCCCCCTTTTAGAGGAGAGCTGGGGACTGTGGTAGTATATACACTTTTTTCTTGTTTCTCATATGCTTCTACCTCATTACATTGTTGCAATGATAGGAATTGATCTACCTTATCTCCGTATCTTCTTTCAGTGATATTATACAATACCTGTTGTTGTACTTTACAATAGTACACCCACACCTTAAAAATGTATATGAGGGTCCCCCGTACGTTTGTTCCATTTATACATTTCATTTGCTATTTTACATGCATCTATGTTTGAAAGCTTGGACTCAAACGCGTGAAATCGACAATGGCCTCCCGAGTTCCCAGTGCTTAGATCCGGTCGATCTAAGCGCTGGAAACCTCTCCGTTAGCGCTGGAAGAGCTTCTGGAGCGCTGGAACCACTCCAAAACCTAGCTTCCAGTGCCCCGGACGGGTTCCCGGTGCTTAGATCCGGTGGATCTAAGCGCTGGAAACCTCTCCGGGCCTTCGTCAAGCCAAATTGATCTACGGGAAGGCTTGGTCAAGCAAAATTGATCTACGGGAAGGCTTCATCAAGCAAAATTGATCCCAGATCAATTTTGCTTGACGAAGGCCCGGAGAGGTTTCCAGCGCTTAGATCCACCGGATCTAAGCACCGGGAACCCGTCGGGGGCACTGGAAGCTAGGTTGCGGAGTGGTTCCAGCGCTCCAGAAGCTCTTCCAGCGCTAACGGAGAGGTTTCCAGCGCTTAGATCCACCGGATCTAAGCACCGGGAACTCGGGAGGCCCTTGGGCAAGTGTTTGGCCACATTGGCTAGCCAACCCAGATCCTTAGATCACTGGAAGCTGCTGAAGACCTGGGTTA